AAAGTTTTCATCGAATTGTTAATTGTTTCGTACTTCTATGATTTTCTTCAACGATAAATCTCTCTATCAAAAATACATGATATTTACTGCAAAGTAAGACATGTTTTCCAGGACTTGTACGATTTTCTTTAACCACAAATAATGTCTCAGATACAAGGTTTTCAATGCAAACGTATGACCTTTTCACATGTACATGTTTTGAGGCCTTTTCACAAGTAAAAAATAAAAGTTATATTAGTGCCCCTTGTTTCAACTTACTACATTTTCAGACGATATGTCAACCATTTTCATGCATTTGGTTGCTTATAAATATCTTAATTTTTTTTCTTTGGAAAACTGAAAATAACTTACAAATCCTGAAAATGGGTGATCTTGTTGTACTTTATTTAATCTTATGTAGGCCTATATTTGTGTCTATATGCATGTCTCTATAAAAGTTTATCAGGTATTTTTTGTAATATCTGTGAAGTATTTACAAAGCTTCAACAAATAATCAATCTTGATAAAAAGGAGCGCGAATCTAATTGAGTTATAAAACAGCTGCTAATCTTCTTCTTTAGTAATCTCTTAGTGATCCCAGTGATTTTCATGTAGTATTTGCATATGCATATAACCCCTCTACTCTACTAAATGGTACTGTTCACTAGATGGTTGCAGCATGGGATGAAGTGGCCTTTCAGGAGGCTAGGGGGAAGGGCCTGGTGTAGCTTTCTCCAATATCATATCCGGGTGTGGGGTAGCGTTCTTGGGTTATTATGTAGGAATTTTTCTTTATGTTTATGAATTGAAGTACAAATGGGTGCCTGTAGATGCTTTGTTGGCACTCCTTGTAGTGGAAGGATAAGGGCAATTTTTCGTATCGAGAGGCTGAAACTTTTTTGTCCTGGTTTTCACTTCACTTTTGCAATTGTTATTTTCTAATTTAGGAGTGTATGTGAATTAGAATCTCGGTGATACTTCTGTTAAAATTTTTTTATTACCAAAATGATGAGTTGTCTTATGCTGCCTTCATATTAAATAGTCTTTCAGGTTGTGAGGTGTTCATTCTGTTATTTGTCTGTTACAGGACATTAATAAGAACCGTAGCATTGCTGAAGCACTTGCATATGAGGAGCAGTTCTTCCATGATTATCCTGTACTTTTCACTTTTGAACATAAATGTCCTGATGTCAATCGTTGAATTAATTTGTGTAGGTTCAAAAACATCTTACATTTGTTGAATGCCATGTGATAGATATATAGAGGTCTCTCCGACCGATGCGGCATCCCCCAATTAGCAAAGAAGTTGAATGAGGTTGGTTCACTATCCATTTTTTCTCCTTCTCCCTTGGTTGGTGTTACTTGCCAATTGATTTGCTAAGTTTCTATTTTATATATTAAGCTTTGGATTGTCTAAATACAGGGAAATTAATTTTGAAATGAGGATTTCCATTCATGTGAAATATTAGTTATACAAGAGACTGATGCAAATATTGTAGGAGTTTACTGCCTTCATGTCTCAGTTCAAAGCTATAGTTTTTTGCACATCCCCATTATGTGAGATGCATACTTGGGTAAATGATTAAGTCAATGATTTGTTCCTCAAGCTTGTAGAAAAATGAAAACCACTTGCTAGAAAAAAGGAACATATAAGTTCAGGGCCTTCTATGGTTGGGCATTCAACGGTTGGTTGGTGCTGCTAGGAAGGTATGGAGGATAGCCCCTCTTTGCTTGTCTGGTGCTTATAAGAGAGGAAATAGAAGGGCGTGAGGGTAGAGAGATGCCTATTTTTTGAGTGAAAAGCTCTTTGCGATGTAGTCTGCTTGTTTGAGTACTTGCAATTGTTCTTTTGGTTCTTGGGTGGACTTTTTTTTGAGGATATTATCTTCTTGTAGATGGATAGCTTCTTTTTACACTTCAAATGCACGGGTAATGCCCCTCGGTGTCGCATATTAACTTTTCGCCAATAGTAGAACATTCCAGCTTTAAACTTGTCCATTCCTGGGTTGATTATTGTTTTGACAAGAATATGGCGGTGTTTGGTTTGTCTCAAAACCAGTTTTTTGTTCTCTGAACACAAATTCTTGTTAGATGTTGTTTGGTTAGTAGTTTCCAAAAACAAATTTTTAAAAAAATGGGAATTGAGAACAAAAAATAGAAAACATCTAAATGATGTTCTGAGTTTTCAAGCCAAAATAGAAAACAAGGGAAACAACCCCTCCTCTTTAATGAGGTCCGCCCATCGAACTTTCTTAGCAGCAAAACACATTTTTTTTCGTTGAAGTATACAAGCCCTCCACTTAAATGTTTTGTCCATCTCCTCTCTCTCTCTCTCTCTCTCTCTCTCTATCTCTCACTCAGCAACGATTGCTGTGCTGCTTCAATAGAGCAATGATTGCTGTGCTGCTTCAACAGAGCAACGATTGTCGTGCTGCTTCAACAGAGCAACGATCGCTGTGCTGCTTCAACAGAGCAACGATTGCTGATTCAACAGAGCAAAGAAGTCCGGCGACTTCTCTGACGAACTGGTTTCAACGATCTGGTTTCAACATCTTCGGTTTTTTTTTTGTTTTGTTTTTGGCATCTTGCTTTAGATCTTGAAGGAGATACACGTAGTGGGTTTTTTTTGCATCTGGCTTCAGATCTTGAAGTATGTTGATGGATTTATGGGTTAAGAATTATGGATTACGAATTTGGGTTATGAATTTGATTTATGGCATCTGGTTTTTTTCTTGATCTATCTTCTCTCTCTCGTCTGCTCAATCTCTCGTATCCTCTCACTCAACAAGTATATATACCGATATATGTACAGATCTATATATATACACAGATATGTGTATATATACAGATGTGTGTGTATATATATGCATATATATATGTGGGATGTCTGTGTGTGAGGTGTATATGTGTGTGCGTTTGTGTGTATTTTTACTCGGTGTGAGTTTGTGGAGGAGAGAGAGGGGGAGATGAGAATTGGGGATTTTGTGGATTATTATCCATATAGGTTGTACAAATTTTTGTTTTTAAAACTATTTTTCAAAATATATAACCAAATAGATTTTGCAATTTAAAATTTTCAAATACACTTTTTTAAAACTTTTCTCAAAAACTGTTTTTGATTACTATTTTTTGAGACGCAAACCAAATAGGGCCTATATCTCTAAGGTTAAATGCTCTACTGTTGTACAAATTCTATATTCCCTTTCTCCTTCATTTGATAGGAAATAAATGTGAAGTTGGTGCAAGGAGAGAGCAAATCTCATTCTTATTCCCACCTCGTAGTATTTCGTATCTTTTGTTCTAAGTTGGTAAATTTAGACAAGGGTTGAACTTAGGTGTATGGCTACCACTAAAAAAAGAGAGTTAACCATCGGTTCATTATGCTGGATGGATCCAGTGCATAATCTGTAAGGGGTCTTGATTATCAACAAAATTTCTGCCAACTAGTTCCTCTTCCTGCTGTCCCCGTGAGGCAGAGCTACCGCCGGTATTAGGGGCTGCGTTAACCGAAGGCGATTTTCCAATAGCTAAGCTATAACTTTGACGTCAAGACTTCTAGATATTGTGTACGTATCAGTTTTCTTGAAATTTGTAATAATTGAGGACAATATAAATCCAACAGTAATTGATTATACCCTGTTTTATCAACTCTTAGAATTCATAGCTGTAATAAGCAAATACATGATCTGCTAAGAAAAAAACTCAACATATTCTAAGGGGAAAAATAATAGAGAAGTTCCTTAATTTGCATATAGTCTAAAGTTTCTTGAGCTTCTCCGAATGACATAGATGCTTCTGCAGGAAAGCAACCTGTTAAAACGGAAAGTCAAGATAGAGACATATTGGGTTTCAATGGAAACAAGGCATGCTTCTCTTCACTAACATTCGAGAATAAAAGAATACAAATGTAGCACAAATTCTGTAGAAATTATGTGTATCCAGCCAAAACAATGTCACAGACCTCATGACCACTCGGTTAGATAGAAGTAGAACTGATACCCCTAAAACCTAAGAAGCACGGATATTTGGCGGGAGGTCGACGTAGCGGTGTCGGACACGGATATGCGTAGGACACGCCCGGACACGTGTCTGACACCTCTAAAGGTGTCTTGAATAGTGAACAGAGATTTTTTGTTGCCAGACACGGCTCGGATACGTAGGGATACGGGGGGATATGGGGATAAGGGGCTGAAAATTAGGGAAAAAAAAAGAAAAAAAAGAAAGAAAATTTTGACGATTTGCTAGATCTGCTTTGACAAAGAGTAGAGAAGAAGAGGCAAATGGACATCCCGGATCTGTTTCGTCGATCAGCTTTCAACGATCTGCTTTGATGAGCTTCAACGATCTGTTTAGACGAGCTTCAACGATCTGCTTAGACGAGCTTCAGCGATTTGCCTTCAAGGATTTGCATCAGTGATCTACCTTCAAGGATCTGCTTCAACGATCAGATCTGCATCCTTTTTCTTCCTCTCTCCTCCTGCTTCCTGAGACAGTGTCGGCTGTCCAAGGATTCTTTTTCTTTTTCTTCTCTCTCGTCTGTTCATTGATTGAATAGAGACGATACTAGCCAAAAAAAAAAAAGAGAGAATTACACTCAGACACCTTTGAAGTTTGTCACCTAATCACTCAGATCCCCTGACAGTTGAAATATTACACACAAACCCTCTGAAATTTGTACGCACGTAACACTAGACCCTGGTGTAAGTATATCCGTTAATAAATTACACATAAACCTCCTAAAGTTTTTAAATATATATTATTTAAACCCTTTAAGTTTAAAATGTTATACTTAGACCTAAAATACTTCAATTAAAGATAAAATATCAAATATTTTAAATTTGTAATTAAAATTCATGTTCTATTATATCATTTATTGAAATAAAATAAAAATAAAAAATTAATTTTTAAAAAAAAAATCGTAATTAGTATACAATTAGCCCATTGTCCAATTATAAAATATTAACCAACTCCTCAAGGATTGTTAGGTCTTATCATTAATGTTATTTGCATAAAAAATATATAATATTATTTTAATTAGCTGTATCCTTGCTGTACCCGTGTCTGTATCGTATCGAATACACACTTGTGTCTGTATCCATGCTTCCTAGCCTAAAACGTTGTAATCCGTTCTGAACCTTGATCATCCTACCACCATGACATTTCCCAATCCTCAGATGAGCTAGAGCTGTCTCTCTCTCTGTATACATAAATATTTGAATACATAAGTGAAAGGTCGCCCCTTATATGATGCCAAACAATATGCTGGTTCCCATGAGCCTTTCACCACTTTGCATTTATATCATCACATTTCTTTTTAACTAAATCATCCTTCTTGGCAAGAATTTGCATAGTTGCACAATTCCAAAGAGTAACCCACCTTTCTTGTTCATTCCATGACACTTAAATCACACAATGAATATAGGAAAGAAAAAACAAGGAGTAACCCACTCACTTCAATCCTGCCAAATTAAAAAAATCACAAAGACAATGCAATAGGGCCATGCAAAACTAAGGGCCTGTTTGGTTTGCGTTTTAAAAAATAGTATCCAAAAATAGTTTTTGAGAAGAGTTTTAAGAAAGTGGTTTTGATATTTTTGAGATAAAAAACTTGTTTTGTTAGATGATTTCAAAAATAATTTTACAATACAGAAAATAGTAAAACTTGTTTGGACAGTTTAAATATATATTTGAATAGTAATTCAAATATTAATAAAAAATTTTTTTTAGATTGAAAAATTCATAAAAAAAAAATTCAATAAACTAAACTTTAAAATATATATATATATATATATATATATATATACGTATATATGTGTGTTTATATATATACACCCTATACAATATATATTGTATATATATATATATATATAATATATATATCATAATATATATATATATATACGTATATACATTTTTATATATACATGTATAAATATACGTGTATATGTATATAACTAAATAAATATATATATTTATGCATATATATATATTTATACGTATTTATATACATAATATATATATATTGTTCTCCTTGTTTTCAAAATTTTCAAAAAAAACTTTGAAAACAAGTTACACTTGTTTTCTGTTTCTTTAACTCAAATCTCATTTTTTCTCAAAATTTAGAGAATAAAAATGCTAAACAAACAGATTTTGAGTGTTTTTAAAATTTTAAAAACAAAAAACTGTTTTCGAGATGATAGCCTAAATGATCCACATTTTCATTATTATCTCAGCATATAATACACCATTGCGGAGAAAGACAAGCATGAGGTCTTCTTCTTTACCATTAATATGACGAATGCAACTCACAGGAACTATTATTTCTAGGTCTATCAACAAATCATTATTGGTTCATGATCCACACCATTCATCACTCCGACCTCCATTTTGTGGAGACAACATGGATGGAGGATAATTTTTAATAAAAAGGAAGATAGTAGTACATAATGAGTATGAAAATGGACAAGTTGTCCAAATATAACCCAAACCAACAAAAAACACTACTAAAACTAAGAAAAGAAATAAACAAAAAAATAATATAACTAATCATTCACAACTCGCATGCCAACTCCCCAAAATTCCGAAAATAGGTGTAGTTACAAATTCCTTTGAAATTGATGCCCAAAAAGTTGCTAGAAAGTATATTCGGTTTCACAATACATCAGCTATCTTGTACTTTGTATTCTTGCATTTCTCTCCAATGAAATCACCGATATACTAGCAAAAATTGCACATTCCCAAAGAATAACTTCTTTACTTCTCCTTCCAAAACCATTGTAATCCACACAAAACATTGTTGTTATAGAACTTGGAGCCGCCCAAGAAATCTCGCCAACTCAAACAACTTATTCCATAGCTTCAAAGCAATTGGGCGACGCAATAAATAAGTGGTTGGCATTCTCGCAATCATTCTTACACATCATACACCATTTTGGGCATATACAATGCATGGTTATCAAAATCCCCATCCAGATCTTAGGATCATACGATCTGATATAAGCAAATCGATTCGAGTTTCTTTTAAAATTCTAAATTCGTATGATCTTAATGGATTGGGATCTGGATCTCATGGGATCCCTATCTGAACTACAATTTTACTAATCTAAGTTGTTTTTTTTTGGTCTCCCAAGGTATCCCCAGGCTTCGCCCAAGACTAATCCTCCGAGGTACAATTGGGTGCCGGGGACCACTCCCAAGAAGGTGTGCTGCATCCACAAGGACTCGAAACCGAGACCACTTGCTTAAGCGACCATAGCCCCTTTCACTCAAGCCAACCTTCGTTGGTCTAATCTAAGTTGTTGAGTTTGGTTGTTAGGTGCATTTAATTATTGAGCAATCCAATCTATATGTTTTGTTATAATAGGTAAAGACTCAATCCAAATGTGAATTTCTTGTACAATTGTGAGTCTATTATTGAATTTCAATGGATTCAAAAAACTACAGAAAGTTTGTTTCGTGTACAAAAAGGTCTCTTTATTTATTCGTCTATTGTTAAAAGTTGAAAACAACGGTTTGATTTGATCTTCTCTCTCGACAAGTGATTATAACCAGATAATCTTTTATTTTTATTCTACTTTCCACTCTCTCCTCTGTATTTCTTTCTCTGAAAGTTAAGATCAAAATATCTCAATTCTTTTATCCCCTTTGCAAAATCCCAATAGATTAGCTGTCCATCTTTGATTTTAAATTCTCTTCAATACCCAAATTGTAATTTCAAATTTTAATCATATCTTAAGTTCTCTGTTTGTCTTAATATTTCGATTTGCATATGTATTACTAGGCTTGTTTAATTCTTGTTTTTGAGAATTTTCTATATATGTTATTTGTCGTATTTTTTCAGTTGATAGAATCCTAAAACCTCACCCATCGATCCAAGATAGGATCCCGATTTTAAAAACCTTGATACAAAGTTAAGTTCATCTTTTTCGAATCTTAGTGGTATTTATCTTCCCATGAGCAATCACCCATGCACAAAGTTGCACTTCAAAGACACCTTAGCTTTTCAAATCTTCAATGGTGGATTAAAATTTGGGAGTCATATTATCAATCAAAGAATCAAAATAAGATTTGCATGAAAACAAGCCTATTGAATCAATGACCCAACTTCTATCTAATGACTCTTTATTAAGGGTTACATTACAGAAGTGAAACCAATTTTAATGATTTCGTATCATTGAGACTCCTATGAAAACCAAAATCCTAGGACACCTGGAAAGAATAAGACCTAATCATTGAAGCTATACCCACATGGTGATAACATGAAACACTATAAAGCCGATGAAATGAACAAGCTAAAGATAAATCCCCAATCCATGAGTCCTCCCAAAACATCACCCTTTTCCCATTGCCCACTACAAATTTAACCCATTGAGGAAAAAAAGGTAGTCCTTGAGAAATGAATTTCCATTGTTTTGGAAATTACCTCTTTCAACCCCTTAGCAGGATATTCATTGGCTTATAACGCGTACTTGCTTCTAATAACCAAATGCCACAATAAATTTTGCTCTAGTGGAGATCTCCAAAGCCATTTCCCAACCAGAGCTATATTGTAGCCTTCAAATTAGCCACAACAAGTGCACCTTTAACTCTAGGCCTCGATACTACATTCCACTTAATCAGTTGATCTTTTCTACTTTTTCCACCACCCTCCTATAAATATATCTCGTCATTCCTTCAATCTTTCTTATAACCACTCTCGACATTTTGATAGGGACAAAAAATAGATTTGAATACTAGCCAAAATCGACTAAACTAATGTATCTCTACCCCCTCTAGAAATAAAGGATTTCTTCCATCCATCCGTTCTCTTACCTATCTCATCAACTACTTGGTCCCAAAGCCCCATAGATAAAGAATTACCACCTAAAAGAAGCCCTAAATACTTGGTGGTCACTCTCCCATAGAACATTCCAAAGTCCCAGCCAGACGAGAAATTTTCTCTTAACTAACATTAATTCCTACAACTGCACTCTTCTCCATATTCACTTGAAGTTCTGACACCACTCCAAAGACATCCACAATCTTTTTAAGATTCAAAAATTCCTCTCCAGCTCCCGTGGAAAAGAAAATGATATCATCTGCAAATTGTAAATGTTACATTGACACCCTATCCTTACCAACAATAAAACCTTCCAGCATATAACATCGTTTTGCCCTTGTCTTAGTCCCATAGATGCCTTAAACCTTTTCCTTGGTTTTCCATTTAGAATTACTGAAAAATTCAGACTTTAAACACCCAGTAATCCATTTTTTCTCATCTTTTGCCCATACCCTCTCTTCTCCAAAATCAAAGAAACGCCAATCCATATGATCATAGAGTTTTCAAATCAATCTTGAAGACAATTCCTTCCTTTCCTCTAATTCTATAGTCTTCAACCACCTCATTAGCCACCGAGCTACATTCATGTTTTGTCTTCCCTTAACAACTGCCCCTTGAAACCCTTAGATAGTATCACTTAAACTCTCCTTCAACTGAATTGACAAAATTTTTGCAATAATCTTGTGAAGGCTCTTGACAAGACTAATCTGCGTGAAATCCTAGATCGTAATAGAATTCTCCTTCTTCGAGATGACACAAATAAAAATGGAGTTATTTAAATCATTAACCACATCACTTTGAAAAATTCTAAAAGCACTTTTATTAAATCAAGTGTCACAACCTCCCAATACTCCTAAAAAATAGCTATAGTAAAACCATCCGATCTAGGTGCTTTCTCTCGACTACACTCAAAAATAACATTGCTTCCTCCTCAAAAGGTTTCACAATCCACCTTCATATCGTCTCCTCAATGGGGCACCATTCTAGACCTACAACCTTTAGATGTCGAATTATAGATTAGAAAAAAAACTCGCAAGTCAGAACCTTTTGCTCAATTTGATCCTATTCCTTTACAAGGACTTCACCCTTTACTTCCAATTTATTTATAACTTCCTTCTTTATTTCTATTTGTTATTTTATGAAAGAACTTAAAATTATTGTCCCCTTCCTTTACCCACTTTACCCTTGATGTGTGCCTCCAATTAATTTCCTCCCTAAAGACAACCTTTACAAACTTATTTCTAAGATCTTATCTCTGTTTTACCCCCTCTCGCCTTAATCTTATGAATATCTACATTCCTTTCTAAAATACAACTCTTACTAACACTAGTATTCAACCAAAACCTCCTTATTTCACACCTTGATTTTTCTTGATTAAATCTAGTTTTTTCATGAACTTATATCTCTCCCAACACATTGAAACATCCCTCTTCCCACCAATCCTTAAACTTTTCCCTAAAAGTACGATGCTCAAGTCACGTATTCTCAAATGTAAAGGGACTCAAACCACACAAAACCTCTTGTCTATATCCCGAAAAATACTCCTCCCCAACCCACTGTGAACAAAATTTTATCGTCTTTCACACACTACAACGTCCCTAAAATTAGACCGAGTAAAGTCATCATTAGCTAACGGTGGACATGAAGCTCAGTTTCCCTAATAAAGGCATCAAAATCTCTCATACTTTTTGTGACTCTACCTCCAATAAGTCTTTGCCAAGAATACCTAATTACATTAAAATCCCTTCCAATACACCATTTTGAGCTACACATTCCAAACAACTTTGCAAACTCTTCTCACAAAGCCATTCTCAACCTAGACTTATTAGGCCCGTACACCCCGGTTAACCACCACTCAAGTCCATCCTTATGTTTAACTTTAATTGACAAACTAAATTTACCTTCTATTGTTTCCTCCACTAAAACTGACCTTTCATCCCACATAATGACAATAACTCTTGACCTCTCCACTATTGTAAGAAAACCCAATTCCTATACCTAGACCTCCACATGCTCTTAATAATTTTCCTATCAACAACCTCCATCTTAGATTTTTGCAAAATGACAATATCTGGACCCACTTTCAAGATAAACTCTTTTCTAAAGCTCCTTTTTTTAATAGATCCTAAATCCTAAACATTTCAATGAACTACCTTCATATGGAACCAGGGCACCCTCATCACCTTTCGTATAATCATAGTTTATACCAAATAGTAATTTTCTCATTTCCCTGCTACCTTTCCTATTTTTTGCACTTCTTCTATTCCCCTTGCTCATACTTTTTTGTTGGAACTAAAGATTAATCCATCTTTCTATGGAAGGTTTTAAGAATTTCCTATTTTTCTTCATCTGACACAAAACATCTATTCTCCACATCACTACTCCGCTACTTTCTTCCTTCCTACCTAACTCTTCATTCCCTTCTTCCTCATAGAACATAATATGCCTTGCAGTAACAACCTTGGGATTTCCTGAAGCAAAATTAACTGTAGCATCTTCATTATTTTTAAACCAATTTGGCTCACAAAGACTCAACTCCTAGTTCACTAACAGACTTGAACTTTGTTGTTTTTCGATTCCCATAGACCCCCAGTTCCCATTGATAACCAACTTCTCCCCCCAGGCCCAAACATCCCACCCACCATTTCCATCCCTAACCCCGACTCAAAACCAGAAAAAACATTACCCACCCCTGCCAATTCCTGACCATTAGTTTGACCTACCTCGCCCTTCTCCCCAGCCTGCATCCCTTTGCCCATCCCAGATAACCCAAGATGACCTGAACAAGCAAGAGTAAAGACTCCCCCACAGTCGTCCACCATTAAAGACACAAAGGACTTATTGTGCTCATCAAAAGTGTAAACATTTGCGTAAGGTACAAAATCTGGATCATTACTTACGTCGAAGACGCCCCAGAATCATAGACCTCTTTTCTTTTGGGAATCACAATTGCCTTTTCTGGTTCGCCATTGCTTTTCATTTCTTCACTTTGAAATAACCTGCCCATAAAACAACATAACTCCTCAAAGCTTGGCTCTGCCCCATACTCACTTCGATCAGAGGCCTCCATCGAACTCCTTTACCTGCCAGTACTCCCTGAAGCATTCCCAGCAACTTCATTGATATCAAACAATCCTTCATCCAACTCCCCCGTCATACGCCTATGTCCCCCTCATCTGAATGAACATCTTCAAAATTGAAGTCATCACGCATACCTTCCACTCCCACATGTAAACCACCAATGTCTTAGTGGGCTTAATCCATCATCTTCTTTCTTCAACACAACTATTTGATTTACCTTCCTAGCTCCTTCGTAACATCTCCTGTGATCCCAAGAAAGCTTATTCTTCTTCTCGTTTGGTTGTTCAGTGGCTCTTCGGTTTCCCCTAGCATCTGGTGACAAATTCTATCCTTTATAAGTCAAACCGAACTTCTGATTTAGGGTTTGGGTAAAATCCATTCTTTTAAAAAATTGTTTCAATTTTGGGTTCAAAACCCCACTTTTCTGCCCAATAACCTCATTACCAAGTTCCAGACCAAGCCCATTTACATAAGGCTCAACAAGAGGCCTTTTTCGAGTGGACTTCTCTTTCTCTAGATATTGGGCCTTATTTTTATAAACAGCTGGCTTCTAGCCCAACAATTTAATCCCATTTCTATCATCCAATTGTACATCTTTAAATCCTTTAATTGCTTCCTTACCCAAATTAAAGCCATTGCTAAAATTCACATCCCTTCCATTATTCCCATAATCTTGGGACTGTAGAGAATTATGGATTTTAACTGCCTCTTTAAGGGGCAGAGTAACTGGCTCTTATTTTTTAACAATGTGATTAGGTGTGTTTCTCCCCCCCACCCAAAAAAAAAAAAAAAACCCCATTCCTTTATCTTCAATCTCGTGCTCGCAGTATGAAAACTTCGTACTTCCACCTCTAGCTTAAGAAGTATGGACACGTGACACATATACGACCTGACGCAGACACGACATTTGAAAAAAAAATAGAACAAGAACACGTTGGGAACAAGCAATAGATAATTGTGTTTTATGTATAGAATTATATAATTATCGCAATATAGTGATAATGATATGTTATTCTTTATGATAAGTAAATGTTATATCTAGACATCTAGTGTGAATTTTAAAACTAACATTGTAATAGTCAATAACCATCAATTTTTTTGGTAGACATGTACCAAACATATATAATTTAAATGATTGTTCATTGCTCTCATTTTCTCAATTGCTCTTTTCTAAATCTTTTATGTATCTTTTGTTTTTATTATTATATTTTGAATATAACTTTAACATGTCTAGTCTTGGTAATTATATATTCTTTTATAGTATAAGATATTTAGTTGTCAAACTTGTAAGCTTTATTAACCACATGTTTATTGTTTAGTAGTAGACACGGTCTATAGAAGTATCAGACACGTCACCAACGAAGTGATGGATACGTGCCTGAATTTTATAATTTATTTATAGACGAGAATAAAAGAGGGTTAGACACGTGTCTGAGAGTGTCGGTGTCCGACACGGATACGTTACCTTCTTGAGAGTGTCCGTGTTTCATAGCCTCTAGCAAACCTATTCCACTCCCCATTTTGTATCTATCCATCCTCAAAAAAGTCCTAATCTTTATAGAATAGGTTTTCTGCTTGTGACTAATATCCAATAAGGTTTTCAGAAACCCATTAAATGGATGATTGACACGAGCTCTTGCCTGAAATAGATTTCGTTGATTCATCGTGTTGTGGTCAACCTCGACAAAACCTCCACAACAATCCCCAATCTTGTTGAACACTTCCATATGCCATCGGTGAAATGGAAGACCTTCTAGTGCAATCCATCCACCCCAAGAATGAGACTTTGCTTCTAAACGAATTGGATTTTGGTCTCCATTTCTGCAATTTCACGCTCACAGAATTCTGAAGGGTACAAGTCTCATTTTTACATATCTCCTTGGCATTTGAGAAGGATTCACAGAAAAATATTGCTTTTTCAGTTTTGGAACGGATTTAATTCAACTTCAAACTGCAAGGTTGTTGTCACTTCTCTGCTAATCACATTCCACAGGTGAAACAAGCTCTGCTACAACACACTACTGCTTTCTTCCATTTATCTTCTTCACGAATCATAGCCTCATCACCCAAAGCATGCAAAGAATGCTGCTGTTGTTTCTTCCCACCTTCGTTGCCATTCTTCAAGCTTCATACCTTGTTTGTCTCACCTTCTCTTGTTCTACCCTTCTCCATTGAAAACTCCAATAAGCTTCCAAACTCAATCCACCCCCTTTCATCAGAGCCTTTAGGTATAATTAATCCCATCCTTCTTCCATTATTCATCAACTTGGTAACCCTCAAAAAGATAACATATCTACTTGACTCCATTTCCACCCACACAAAAAAACCTGCATCTCTGTACTTTTTAAGGAACTCTTTTTCTGTTTCCAATACACAACATCATCAATGGCTACGTGCTTGATTAAACACACTGGAAAATGAACCGAATCTGTTCCAATCGGTAATCTGAATCCACTAATTATCAAGAACTCGACCGAGAAAGTTTTTCGTTCAATTTTCAATTTCATAATTGTCTTAAGAGAATTATTTCTTTTCAGGAGAAATAAATTATTTACTACTCATAGTGAATGTCTACCTATTTCCCGTATCCCCGTGTGTGTGTGTGTGTGAGAGAGAGAGAGAGAGAGAGAGAGAGAGAGAGAGAGAGAGAGAGAGAGAGAGAGAGAATGTAATCTGTAACTTGTGAATTTTGTTTTAAATTCTGTATCCTCAATATGGTATAAATGAACAACCAGAACCGCACTGAGATGATGGTGAAAATGTTTCCTGTAATGGCACTTATACAAACAAGTTAAAGTTGCTGGAATATTCCCTCCTAGATCTCCGTTGTCCTCACTGTTACTGTACCACGCTCTTAGTTTGATGTAGATTATGTATGCAACCTTTGCTGTTGGAAACACATGTACGATGTGCTGCACATTTATTGCTCCATTGAGAAAATTGAGGAGATGATGTACTGGAGCCGAGTCCACCTGGTTTGTATGTGGAGTGGTTTTAAAGATTTTACTTATTGGAAAAAATCTATAATAGTGAACTGAAACAAATATAACAACATGAAGATGGGGTTACTTCAAATATGACATGATTAGTGCATCAGCATAGTTTATCAATGCACTTTTGCATGCTCCTACATTATATTGGATGTTATAGATGGAACTTATCCTTTTTTGTTGATGGCTTTACTTCACAGTATATCTTGCACTTTTAATCTGTTTAAGCAGAAAACTTTTCAAATTAAATTAAAAGTAAGGACACGGTTTCATAATGGTTACATTGCAATTTGTGTATCATAATGTGGAACTTTGAAAATTGGAGCGAGCGAACAAAAAGAGAAAAAAGGAACTGTAGTTCTTGCCTAATTAAGCATTTGGTTCTATTTGTCATGTACTTTGTTTCATGAGTTTTTGTTGTATGTCTGCTGTTTCAGATTTTGGAGCAGCATATTAGGACAGTTCTCCCTAGTCTGAAGACTGAGCTTCATTCTCATTTGCTAGCTGTTGTGAAAGAGCTACGTACATATGGAGAGGTTATGGAATCAAAAGTAAGTCAGCAATATGAGTTTTGGATGTTATCGGATCAATGTCTGTTAAAAGAGGGTTCTTTCCTGTGAGGCATGGATACAGACAAGTATCGATATGGTGGCATATATATATATATATATACACACACACACATATACACATACATGTGTGTGTGTGGCATAAGTAGCTATATTTGTAGATATGTACATGCATAATTGTGATGATTCCTCTCCTCTCATTCTTGCTCTTTTGCTAAAAACCGTAATGTACCTCACTGCAACAATTTTTGTTTTTTGAACAGCACTGTAACTATTGAATGTAGCATAGCTTAAACAGGGTATACCTTTCTAATATTTTGATTATTAGCTATATGTTTAAGTATCGCTGTTTTTCTAATATTTTGATTATTAGCGATATGTTATAGCCCTTGATATCTGCATGATTCCCAAAAGGTACACCCACGTGCTGGCGATCAAGAAATAGTAATTCTCGGTAAAGTACAAGGTCGAACCATAGAGATCCAAAAAAATTTATAAAGAAGGTAAATGAAGAACAAATAAAATTTAAAACGAAAGTTGAATTGAGTTTTGAGAAAAATTGCAGATTAATTAAAAGGAAATATCAATTGAAAAAGACAACTCTTTGGCATCGGGATATGAATTTGTTCATGTTTACCGGATAATTATTACTACGCAATTTATTATTAACTCAGTTGATTTCCGACGTCAGTGTAATCAGCCGAAAAATATAACTTTGAAAACAATAAATTTGATTGATAGAAAGTAAAATTTGAAGAATTATTTTTGTCAAATTGGCAGGGAATTATAAGCATTATTCATACCAAGAAATCAATCATGTTAATGAATAATCAAGCAATTATACAGTGGATAAAACTTTACCGGAAAGATTGAAATTTCATAACATAAATATCTGGGTAAATAATCACAAATTCATACTCTAAGCTAAAGAGTACAAGAGAATCTACTCACAAGACATTGTAGATCCTAAAAATCTGAAAAATAAAAGAACAGAAGCTAAGGAAGAGATTCTTCTTCAGATGTGGGAGGTATTATTCATAGTACTAGCCTTGACATAAGTCTAAGAGAAGTTCTCGTTCAAAAAGGAACCCTTTTTTAGGTTAACTACCCACCTAATCGGTGCGTCTGGATGGCTTGGCCGCGTCCTGCTAGTTACAAGTCTCTGGAAAATTATGGATACCCATGTCTAGATTGTATTCTTGTGTCGTTGGCTTGCATCCTAACGAAAAAATGGCGTATTGAAC